TTCTTTTCTACTATTATAAAAGGCAATTATGCTATTTGTACAATCACACTTGACAATATTAGTGTTGTCAAAATTCGGACCATTGATTTTTTTTTAAAATGAGTGAATGTGATATTGTCAAGTGTAAGCTATCAAGCAATATTATCAAACTAGATTGTACATGTAGGATGATTCTTATAAAAGGCTGGGGATGAATTGTACAAACACCAAGTTTAAGAAGTACAATTTAAAGTAATGGGTAATTAGAAAAAAACGTCCATACCTTTTAAGTTCATTGTGAAAAACGTCATTACTTTTCATTTTTTTGACATTTTTGCCCTTATTTCCACATTTCTTTGCGAAGAATGTCCTTCCGTCCACTATCCGCCGTTTCTCCGTGAAATAAATACAAAGAATCAATTGTGTAAAAATATTATCTTAAAGTTAAGTCCAAAATTAAAGTGATCTAATAAAGAATTAAGTAATGAGTTTTGGATATCTAAATAAAGTGTGAGTCGGATTATATGTGTAGAGACCAGATTCATTAGAGTTGTATTTGACAATGGGCTAGATACATATGTAAACTATATGTAGGGTTATGGTCCCTAATTCATATGCAATTTCTCATTTTTTGTGTCATCCCATCAATACAATGATTAATAGAGAAATATTCAAAACCTACAATCAAGAAGAAAGAATTTAGACAATCAAGATTATGGAACAAAAAATAAAAATCAAGATCAATAACTCAAAAATCAAAAGAGTTAATATTCAAGATTAAAGATCCGGAATCAAGATCCAATAATAAAGAATCGGTCCTAATGAATTAAGCTATGTTCCGCATTTATTAATCTTATCGATAATTTGACATAGATAATTTTGGCAATAAAATAATTAGGTTTTCAAGTTCTTGAAATTTAAAGTTTCATAAAATACTAACACGAAATATTAAAAGTTGGAGCATCCTCAATGGTAGTGTAAAATAGATATTTAAATATTCAAACTGGACGAAAATCTCTTTAATGAAAAGATGCGAAGGGTATAAAAATTTACATTCAAAAGAGGTAAAAAAAAAAGGTGAAATCAGATCTTCTCATTAGAGTAGAATTTGGATTTGGATCCACTAGGATATAAAAGTAGTTTTGAAGATACCAATTTGCACCCAATTTTATACTACTATTGAATATGCTCTTAGTTTGTTTTCCAAACGTGTTCAATATGTTAATTTTTTTTTTTTTAATTTGAAGTAAAAAATAAAATAAAACAACGCTCACTTTCAAATTAACTCTAGCTTTTGAGATAAGTTATTTATTTATTCGAATTTGACCTAACAAAAAATAATTATTTTGATACTTGCTTCCTTAATTAAACCTTTTAAGTCTAGCCAAACATGTATATTTTTATGGACTAGTAATTATTTTTTAAAATATTTATTTTATTACACGTGATTTTAAAAGTTGGTTTTTATTTATTCTTTAGAAAGAAAAAATCTAATAAATTTTCACTAAGTAACTTTTATGCACAACAAGGAAAAAAAACAACAAACAACAGAATGAAGGATTTAAATAAAAACATAATTAACTATTTTAGCATGAATACTTTTTTCCAAAAGATTTGTAAAAAACTTCAAATTTTTAAGAAGGGAACTCAAATGTTCGATCCTTTCTTATGTTTACTGTACATTTTTTAAAAAAAAATTAGTGCTTGTTTGGCTAAGCTTAATTTTGTTACTTTTTTGAACAAAACTTAGATTAAAAATTTATTTATCAGTAAATAAACATATTTATAGACTGTAAAAGAAAAAATTTGTTGTACAAAATAAATTTCATAGACTACCTTGGTAACAAATTATTATTTCATTTTTTTTTATGACTCAGGTATCCAAGTCTCGTCCAACTAATCATGAGTGGCAGCCTCCCCTCTGATTCGCTACGTAGGTTAATCCAGATGCGTTACAACTTATACACACTTGGACCAGACATTCGACGATTTTCCTCCCCGTGGACACTTCTGCTTTCCAATGTAAATATTGCCTTCCAACATTTAGAGCTTGTTTGGGAGGGATTAAAATCAGATTAAAATTGAAAATATAGCCGTTGGAGTTGACTTTTATTAGACGAGTGAGATCCAATAACGGCTATATTTTCAATTTTAATTGGATTTTAATCTTTACCAAACGAGCACTAAATATGAAAATCAGTAAATATACTCTAAACCTTTTTAATATGATTCATGATCAACTTTTCAATTATGTAGCAAAATTCGACATTCCTACATTTTTATCTTTAAATGATGAATTTTCATTTCTCATCAAAATCAGTAAAATTACACAAAATAAGGAAAAATTACAAATTAACTTCTATAACTTTTTCAAATACAAATAAATCACACTCAAAATAGTTAAATGCATGTTAGAACATAAAAAATAAACATTTCATCTTCCCCAACTAAGCTCATCCATCTATTTCACCCAAACCCACCAATCATAATCCATCCCGTCCGTAGTCAAACACCACATCAACA